TTGTGAATCGGGCTAAAGTAAGGCGATAGTTTCGAACACTGGCTGGTTATGTACTTGCTCAAATATTAATTTCGGATAATTTTTAACCAAAAAAAGTTACGGACTGCAGCTTTAACTACATCCGTTATTTAATTTAATAACATTTTAAAGCATGAATTACATAAACAGTTTTAAATATCAACTAAATTTTCCATTTAAAAATGACTTAAAGGTGCAATAGGTGATTGTCTTCAGAAACATTTTTTGTTATGCTGGTTGAAAGTCTCTTCACATCCCAGTAGCAATCACTAAGACTAAGTTAAGTGGTCGAAATATTTATATGTATTTATATCACCTGTGGAAGGCTTAGGACCATAGAATGTTCGTCCAATCAAAATGTTCAGTCCGAAGATGAAGGTAGGCTGTCTTGCCTGCCTGTCAAAGTATGTATTTGCATACATACGTCATCAGCGCATTCCAGCCAGATTGGAAGCAAAGACTATAGAATACTCCTAGCCTTAAATAATAGAGTAGAATAGCCTTAATCCCAGATAAAACAGGTGTCTGTATTTATATATTCTGTGGAAGGCGTAGGATCAAGAAATGTTCCACCAATCAAAACGATCGGTCCGAGCGTTTTAATAAGCTTTCCTACCTGCCTGTCATGTATTAGCACACCTCTGCGCACCCTGTTCGCGCAGACAGGATACGTCATCAGCGCGTTCACGCACGCTGTGCAGACAGAGCGAGGATGGCAGGCAAACATCAACAACCCGATCTTTCTTCCTGGTATTGTAGTACTTTTAAAGATTTCTCACTGGTGAATGACACATGATGTAGCCCAGCGGTTAATCTAGTCCTCGCGCCAGCTCGTTAGAAGTGAGCTACGTGCATGAACTGTGTTCCGATCGATATGATCCCTACACAGTGTTCATTGCTCCCTACTCCCTGAGTGGGGGAAATCCGTTGAAGTTTACTTCACTTCAGAACATGGGCTGGAATTGGGAACCTGATGTAGCCTATTGTAGTAATGTTGTCTCTGGTCTGTGAGTGTAAATGCGTTCAGGGGGCGTGGCTTTGGACGGCGATTGCAGGGAGGGTGGGACGTTCGCTTTCAGTGCTATCAGGCTAAAGTTAGCATTTTCCAAGATCTCCTATTGCACCTTTAATTTACTATTTTAACTGCATTTAATAACACAAATTAAATAATTTATTAATATATTATTTTATTTGACATCTGTCAGAATCCTGCCCTGTCTGTCTTGTCTTTGTTTCATGTTTGTTTTGTGTCTGAGCACATGGCTTTGTCTTTGCTGCTGTCTGCCATGTGCTCCTCTCGTCCTGCCCCCTTGTTTAGTCCTCGTTTGTCTGAGTGTGGTCACCTGTTCCTCATGTTCTCTGCCCCTTTATATTGTGCTCCCTTCCTCTCTTGTGCTGTCAGTTCATTGTTCCATCTTGCATGTTTGCTAACGCTTCTATTCGTCGTGTTCCTGAGTTCTCCCTGCCAGATTGTTTGTTGAGTTTGGTTTAAGTTTCTTGTCTGTCTGCAGTCATGTCTAGTCCTGTCCTGCTTCTCCCTGGGTCTGCCACGCAGCTAGGCCTGTGCAGTCTCTGAGGGGTCACGAGTGTGGAGTGGCCGGGCTTCGCTACACACACACACACACACACACTCTAAACCAACAGATGTTGAAGATGAAGGCAGTCAGTATTGTGTGTGTTTGATGTTAGTGGAGGATGCTGATAGTTAGTAATTAACTAGTTCTCTAGACTCAGTCATGCTGAGAAACACAGTGGGGATCTCTGCTTGTGTTCTGGACATTTGTTTGTGATCAGAGAGCATCATGGGACGGTGATGAGCATCACTATCACACATCAGCAGGCTGCTGCCGCTCATTCTGCTGGTGCCCATTGTGCTGCTAAAGCAGAATTCCCATGATGCTCTCTGATTCAGGATGATCAGCCTCTGATTTCCCATGAGGACAAACACACGGCTCCGAACACGAGACGCTTCCCCTTCTCCCTAAACTCATTACAGCTTCTCCTGCAGTCTGACCCGCGTCCAGCCACTGCTGTTTCTACAACACAGACGCTTTCAAAGCAGGATAATAAGAGAATCAATGATGCCAAACTCAGTTTCAGCTGTAAAGCAGCTCTACAGAAGACAATAGAGTCATTATTCAGATCAATCCAGTCCGATGTTGATTCGATGGGTCTCGTGTCTCTCACCGATATGACGGCGGCCAGCGTCTCGATGCCACCGGTGCTGAGCGTGATGTACGGGATCAGCGTCGGCTCGAAACCGGCCTTCTGGAGGATCCCGTTAGTGTAATACCAGATCTACAGAAAGAGAGGATCAGAGGATCGTCAGGGAGCAGCAAATCAGCATTTTCGAATGATTTCTGAAGATCATGTGACACTGAAGACTGGAGTAATGATGCTGAAAATACAGCTTTGATCACAGAAATCAATTACAGTTTAACAGATATTCACATAGAAAACAACTATTTTACATTATAATAATATTTCAAAATTTTTACTGTATTTTTGATCAAATAAAAGCAGCCTTGCTGAGCAGAAGAGACTTCTTTCCGAAACATTAACGTCTCAAACTGTTGTCCAGTAGTGTATGTGTGATTGTTCCTGATGAACTCACGGCGTTGAGTCCGCAGAGCTGATAGCAGCTCATGACGACGATCACCGTGATCAGCTGCCAGCGGAGCGAGCACTTCCGGAAGAGCTCCAGCACCGACGCCGTCCGCTGCGTGTTCTGAGCGCGACTCTCGGCGTGAACCTCCTCCAGCTCACGGCTGACATCTGACCGGCCCAGAAATGCCTGGAACGCTGACACACACACATTATATGTTTTGATCACTGAAATATCATCTTACTAAAGCCCTATTCGGATGGTAATTTTTTCTCATTTGGACGTCTGTAAAAATAAATTCCCATGGCACCTCAGCGATAAAACTCATGGATTCGGATGGTGATTTATTCACAGTGGAGAAGCGAGTTCTGTCATCCTACGAACTGAGCTTCATATTCTCACTATATGCGCCATAAAAGTATCAAATATGATACAAAACACATGATTTTTCTGCCAGTTATTTCATATATCAGGCATTACAGGGTTAAAGAGATATTTCTAACGATTTAAAATATGTTATAAAAGAATGTGTTTAGTTTGATTCAGCAATATTATATTTTTGACTCGAAAAATCAGTTAATTGAGATGCTAATTAATGTTTTTTTTTTCTTTTCTGTGTATGAATGTGATCAGAAATACTGATATGAATGAACTGCAGAAGAGCAGCACTGAAGCACGGATCTGTGACACACACACACACACACACACACACACACACACACGTGATTCCTCAGAGGAGCGGAGCGTTTGATTGGTGTTGTGATGTGATGATGTGCTCAGCCTCATTCTGTCAGTCTGAACACACCTGATCTCATCACGAACATGAGAAACCACAACAACCTGAAGAAAGCAGCAGTGTTTGATCTCAGACTGATTTAAGAGCCCAAACCTCCTCAAACTGACCTTGATGGCCAGTTAGACAAGAATAAATTAGTTAAATGAGAGTTTAATGAGCCCTTTTAACTCAAAATCAGTCTAGAGTTCACCGCAGTCAATGTGACTGATTAACTAACTGTTAATTACACTCTCCTGCTTCACCGCTCACTTTGTTTCAACATCAGGGCCAGCAGCTGAAAGCGTGAGTGTGTGTGTGTGTGTGACTCTCGGGCAGAAACGGCAGAACACACAGCTGCAGTAGGGCAGGAAGTGCCAAGAAACCGAACAGGAAGTTCCATCTGCTTTCCTGCAAAAACACAGCAGACGTTCAGAGAGATGGGTATGAGATTCAGTCACAGCTGATGCGACCGGAGGATGATTTGACCGATAACTTGAGTTTCAGGAGCTGCATGTTCTTAAATAAATAAATAAATAAAACATAACAGTAACGCGTCCGAGGTTTACATCTGAGGACCTTTTAAGTTCTGTATATTTATATATTAGTATTTTCATTGATTTATAACAATAAAAATACCTTAATGAAACAATTTTACTTTCAATCCACCAAATGAAAGAAGAAATCCACAATGAATTCAGAAGTTATAAGAACCAATTATTTTAATAACTTTTCCAGTCATTCCTGATTTACTGGATAAAGATCAGGATTTATTTTATATTTTAACTCACATTTTCTATGCCGTAAAATATTATTGAGCTTGGCATAACTAGACAAATGGATATTCATTATAGAAACGCCCATGGTGTTTTAAGGTTTTGTTAAATTACATCAGTCCTGATTCACTGGATAAGGTATACGAATAAGGACTTTTACTCACTATTTCTAGCCAATAAAACATAACTAGACATATGTATATTCATTATAAAAATTCCAATGACGTTTTCAGATTTGATGAATTTTCATGATTTTTCCAGGTCTAGAAATCACACTTTTAAGATGCGGCTTCCTCACATATCCTGGTTGTCCACAGACAACACACAGTTGTTGAGATGGTGAATTAATATAAGAGTAGCAGTTTTAGCTGATTGTGTAGCTTGTGGAGGACAAGGACAGCTGCTGCAGCATCATCTGCAGGAGGAACCGGATGTCTCCGCCGGGTCAGACGCTCTGTCACCGCACATCACGCCACGATCACGAGGTTTAAGATCACGACCCGACAGAACACCTGTCTGATCTCTCAGACCAGCACAAGACCGCCTCGAAACACTGAGATTCTATTACAGTGCTTATTAACATTTAGATTTTATTTTTATATTCTCAGCTTTTTTGGTGTTAGTTAAAATTTCAATTTTGTAGTGTTTTTGCCATTTTTATTAGTTTTTGTTGTTTTTTTTGATATGTCTATATAGTTTTTTATACATTTTTATTTCAGTTTTAGTTGTAGTTATTTCAGTACATCCAGTTAAACTAAAAGAAATGACAAATGTTTCTTTTTTAAAATATACTTGTTTCAGTTAACATTTATTTTAAGTAATGAAAATGTTTTTTTTTTTTTTTTTTTTATAGTTTTAGTTTTAGTCATAATCCTTCAAATCAAAATCAGACAAAACAACTATCACATCAGCTAAAACTACTCAAAATCAAAGATCTTTCTTATTTTAATGCAATTTATGACTCATGGTTTTGGAAAACCTGAACATGTGAGGAAGCCTCATTTTAAAAGTGTGATTTCTAGACCTGGAAAGTCATGGAAATTGATCCAATCTCATAACTCCATGGTCAAGTTTATAATGAATATACACTTTCTAGCTGAACTTTTAAATATTTTATTGGATAGAAATTGTAAATAAAAAGCGTTTAAAAAAAAAAAGAAAACAAGCAGTTAGTAAATTAATAGAGTGCAAGTAAAACCGTAAATTCTACTCCTTGTTACAAGTATGGTAGAACCATCACTTCTACCACAAAAGACTGCTTTGTACGTAATCTT